ATTGGGTATGACTGGCTGATGACGGCTAACAAGCCAGAAATGGCCATTCCGAACTGCAGTCTGTATCAAGCATACAAACACAAAGATAGCAGTTAGTTATTTGTTTAGCGTAGCTGCGCCTCCCGAGAGGCATTGTATACATGTGCGATGTGTTTTCTACAGTTCTGTCAGTGAGCCCAAGAACTGCACACATTTTCCTTTTCTGCCTGACGTATTCATTTCTTAGTAACAGGACTGTCATCTTTGCTCAAAAACATCTCTGTTAGTGTTCCCAGTCGAGCTAAGTATCGCCCAGCAGCAAGTATTTCATTTGCCGTTGACAGACAGTTTTATAGGCCTAAAAAACCCCAGCGAACTATGAGCATCAATCTGTGCCTCTTCCTTCTCACGAACAGACTTACCGACAGGAAACCACCCCCTACTTTCAAATGCCTAGGTGTCAAAATAGTCCCCAATGGACTACGCACTTTCCCACTAATTGCTTCCGCTGCCTTCTCAAGGTCACTGTAGACCACTGCTGACTGACTGCCTGGACTTCATTTCAGACGATAAGCATAGCTGGTGTATGTAGTTTCGTCCACTCTGGTGTTTAATTTTTGCCTGTAACCCACCACACGCTCTGACGTCAAACGCGTAACTTGACGAAAGCGGACGGCCGACGCGGAAACTTTCTGAAGGGGAATGAGCTTTTGCAACCGGAGGATGGCCCTCCCAGCAGGTCTTGTCAATCAGACTTTGCTGCTGCGACCGCTATCACCACCACCACGACACAGGCTGACTATTTTTAGTCATTTGCAGTTTGTTTTGTCATTCAGATAGGGAGGGGGAGGGAGGGGGGAGCAGTGGACATCTCGTGAGATTTTTCCCACCGCCAACTCAACCCACACTCAAGTCATCAGCGCGTATTTGGGGCAGGATTTGTCTGCAGCGGGCGAACTGCAATGTTCTGTTTTCTAGTTTCACTTCGTAAGAGACTGTCATGTAACGTTACTGTTTCTCCTTGTCATGCCCTCTGCACGGCCACAGACGGGAACCTTATATCTCAAAACAGAATAGACTGCACCCATCCACCCCTCTCTTCCTCTCTCCCACCTCATTTCCTGACCATCTCTTTGTGTCTCCGGTCAAAACACTGGTCAGTTGGTAAACTCGTTTTCCGACTTGTTTTTTTTCTCATGCTGAGTTAAATTAAATTAGAGACAAACAGTAAGGATGTGCAGTCTAGCAGTGGCCGATAAAGGTGGCATAGGTTGTTTGTAATTATCCATCGAAAAGATCGAAAAAGCAAAAGTCACTGACATTCTCCGGGGTTTCCAGCCCATCGCTTGGATAAACTCAACGCTTATGCTGAGGCTGGTGGCGAATACGAGATGTGAACGATCTCAGGCTTTAGCCATCACCTCGGTCTCTGAAATCAAGATAGCGGATCAACTCACCAGAACAGTTACTCTGCTGTCAACATCAATTAGGGCAATACATGTTTCAGCTCGACGTTGACTTTGTAGAGAGCATTTTATACTGCTCTGAGGGCTGTTTTCGAGGTTAGGGTTAGCTGTGAATAGAGAGTGTAATGACTTTAGTGCAATTTGGAGGATATTTTTATTGCATTCTGCTCCAACCCCCGCCCCGCCCTGCCGAACAGAAAGCAGCAACAGCAGCAGCGAAATTTACGGCGCAGAAGGATTCCTTCTACGCAGTTTCGCTTCTGCTATCTGATTTCAAAAACACTGTACTTATCAAGATTTTAGCGCCTCTCTGCGTGCTGGTGCAGTAAAATAAAAGGGCAGCATGATTATGGCCCCCAGCCCAGGATTCTCGGCTGATCGTGGCCTCGGTATGCGCCTAAATGCTTGAAACAGTAACGGAACCCTCAAGTATGTATGCCTTTAAAGAAAGCGGGTTATTTCAGTGAGCCTGTGCTAGCGATGAGCTCAAGGAAGAGCGGGCATTTAGGTACGATAAGTTTCGGCGGAACCTCTCCCCCACACTAGTCCTTCGGAAAGCATTGGCATCAGAGGAATGCGTGTGCGTTTTTATTGGACTCTAGGTGTTATTACCCAAAAGTAAAAGTTTTTGAGAAAAAAATAATTGTCCTTGTGTGAATTTTTCGAGTCTGGTTCCCCAGCTCGTCGTCAGACAAGTGAAAGTTGTGCGAAAACAGTTAACCCAAGACTCTACGATCGGTCAGAGTGTAGGGAGATAATCGTCAACCTCATTTAATTGTGCGGTCATTGGGGAAAATAGCTGTCATCCGGATGTAATTATGCGTTCAGGGGAGGGGGAGGAATAGTTCTCATCCGCGTTTAATGATGCGGTCAGTGGTGGCTGTTTTTTGCGTCCATCTGATCTTGAGAAATTTGTAGTTGATGTCCAAATCGATGTGGCCGTCGATGCATGCCCCGCCTGAGTGTGTTGCCTCCAAGAATGCACGGCCCTTCCTGTTTGAGCAGGCGTCAACGATTTGGGTTTGCTCCCTTGTCCAGTGTGTGCATGGCAACCTCCGATAGATGGTCTTCTCACCGCTGGCTTGTTTTCATGTATGCGGGTGGATAGAGCTCTTCCGGTTTTACCACAATAGCCTGTATCACAACTAGTGCACAGTTGCTTGGGATACCGATATTTAAAATATATATGTTGATAGTAGGGCGCTCAGCGGAGCATGCTCGTCCCATTGTGTCGGGTCCGTACCTCAGGAGTTGTGGCCTCTGAGATTGGGTATGACTGGTTGATGACGATTAATGAGCCAGAAATGGTCATTTCAAGTTGGGACCGGTTATTAACTCGTCTAACTTGTTTATTTCTGGTAGCTATATTTCAACCCGTAGTACATATATTCTACCTTTTCGATCCAACGTTTATGTACGCATCCGAATGCCCGATTACAAACAACCTCTGCCAACTTTATCGGCCACTGCTAGACTGCACATCCTTACTCTTCGCCTCTAATTAAATTTAACTCAGCATGAAAGACAAGTCGGAAAACGAATTTACCCACTGACCGATGTCTTGTCCGGAGAGACACAAAAGCTGGTCAGGAAATGAGGTGGGAGGGAGGCGTGACATGTGGGTGCGGAATATCCTGTTGTGGGCGATACAGTTCTAGTTTGTGGCCGTGCGCTGAGGGCAAGAATGGGAGAAAAAGTAACGTTTCACGGCAGTCTGTTACGAAGTGAAGCCAGGAAAGAGAACGTTGCAGTTTGCCAGCTGCGCGGACAAGCCCTGCCCCAAGGACGCGCTGATGACTTGAGCGTGGGTTGAGTTGACAGCAGGAGAAATCTCACACACAGCGTTCACTTCGTCCCCTTACACTGCACCCCCCTTCTCTCTGAATGGAAAAACAAGCTGCAAATGACCAAAAATAGTCAGCCTGCGTAGCAGACAGGGTGGCTGCGTCGCGGTGGTGGTGGCAGAAGCAAAGTTTGATTGATAAGACCTGCTGGGAGGGCCCTCCTTCGGTTGCTGCTGGAAGCAAAAGTTCATTCCGCTTCAGTCTGTGTCCGCGCGTCTGTCGTCCGCTTTCGTCAAGTCCCGCGTTTGACGTCAGAGCCTGTGGTGGGTTTCCGGCAAAAATTAAACTTCTCTGAGCTCAAGTTAACACCAGAGTGGAGAAAACAATTGCAGCTACGCTTGTTGTCTGAAATGAATTTCGAACAGTTAGCAGTGGTCTACTGTGACCTTGAGAAGGCAGGTGAAGCAATTAGTGGGAAAGTGTTCTGTCCAACGGGGAGTTTTTTGACACCTAGGTAGTTGAAAGCGGTGGACAGTTACTCTCAATAAGCTGTTCGTGAGGAGGACTGGGCACAGATTGAGGCTTATCGTTTGCTGGTTTTATTTAGGCCTTCCAAACTGTCTGTCAATGACAAAATGAGAATGGAATTCGAAACCAGTGGCCGTTTTCCTTTTGGTGGGACTGTTCGTTAGGGCACAGATTTGTGCTCCCCGTTTACTGGTTTCCACTAGTCATGGCTTATGTCAATGACCGAATCAAATATTTCTTGCCTAGAGATACGTGGTCGCACATCCATTATTTGTCGTCATCAGCTCAATCCCGATATTCTGATTGGAGGTACGCTGGGTCTGGCCATAGAATTTGATTCAGTCTGCAAATCTACTATAGATGGCGTTTCACTTGTATTTGACTGTGAAACCCTTGATGAATTCTATGCCAGTTAAAGGCAGCGGTCCCGTACGTATTGCCGCGGTCACCCGAGACCGGCCCAACACTACCTGCACGTTCGCGTAAAGAAAATTTGTTCGGTAAGTATGACTTTTAATGACCGGAAGACTCTGCACACTTCAGATAGGTTACCTTGCTCTAGACTTAACGAAGGGTGAATATTCGCGGTAGGGTTTCCAAGTGGGGTCTTCGAAAGGTCTTTATTTATTATAGCCACGTACTTACACGTTCTAAGTAGGTTGAATTACCCACAATCTTCCTGTTTTTTTTACACGCCATCCATCGATCCAGCAGGGATTGGATGATGGCGTTGAACCGCAGAGTGGTCCTCGGAAGGCCGCCGCATTCAATAACCGCTTTAATGGGCATACTAAGCAAAATTGACTTTTTAAATTAACCGCGGGAATAATCGCTTACTTACAAATTTTAAGTAGGGTAATTTCCACAATCTCCCATCTTTTCAGCCAGTCAGTATAGTTGGAGTAAATGACCGAAGCCCTTAAAAACTCCATTGTTTTTTGTTTGTGTCGATGGTACCGCTAGAAAACGTACATCAATGACCTCGCCCGAGGTTAGGGCACACCCTTTACATACACGCGTTCGCCGTTGGTCGGGCGGGTGTTAGCGATGACATTAAAGCCTATCTCAGTGTCCTCGCCTCAGGTTTGAGTACGCGACCCCATTTGTCCTCGTAACTTTTTTATTTTAC